AGCGAGAGACGCCAAACTCGCGTAAGTTGCAAAATGCCTTCCCGGTTTGCTGCCGTAACAAACAAAGAAATTTCACAACTAATCAAGCAAGCTGTTTCCGAAATACACGAAGAAAGTGACGAAGCTCGGGGTGGAAGTTTTCACAGGTAAAACTTTGTCTTTTTGACTTGAATTTATCGATAAAACCGGCGAAAAAGTTTTGTTGTTTACAAATGCAAATTAAGTTTAAGTCTTGCGTTACTTTTTTTAGTTGACTTGTTCATAAATAAGCTTAAAACTAAATCTAATAATCCTTTTTACAGAATGATTTTAAATACAAAAAGAATTCACAACTCCTTTTGAGGAAATTTCCCCGCAAGAGGTAAACAAATGCCTTCAAAAGTTTTATTTGCCGGCAAGAAAAAGCGACGACAGCGGCCGTTCGGTCATTGCGCGCCAAAATTGTAATCGTTGCAGGCAACAGTAAATGAGTTAAAAATCATCATTTTTGTGCTCAATTATCTCACTGTTTTAGTATATACTAAAACAATTATTCACCTCAGTGTCGGTGGCTAGTGATGGATATTTACCTCGCCGCTAACGCGGCTTCGGTAAATATCCATCACTAGCCACCTCCACTTCGGTGAATAATTGTTACATATTGCATTTTCTTCCTAACCATTCAATGTACAATGTATACTTTGTTTCAATCTATTCTTTATACACGTTGCTTCCTTGCAAAATTGACTCCTAAAGTCTCATCCAAAAATTGTTTTTCTCAACGCAATTTTTAGCCACAGACACTGATTATTGTAGTTGTGACATTTCTTAGCAATTTTTGGGGGGATTTTTGACAATTTACTGTAGGTTCAAGCGAGAATAATGATAAGGACTCAACATACTTGTATATAATTATTCAGTCATTTCCTAACCACCATTAATTGCAACACTTTCCATTGATTCAAATGAAGCAATAATCAATTTGTTAATTGTCATGTTGTCTGCATTCTTCCAACTTTATTATCCTTTTTTTTTATTTATGGATTTCTTTACTTTTTCACATCCAATTTCTAAGACAACGTTGAAAATTCAGAAGAGGAGGAAGTTATCACTTCTGAAGACAGTGGTTAGTAGCATTTATATATATAAAATTGCAACTGTGCAACTGTTTTACATGTATGTTATGGTGGTGCTGAGGTTGTTAAGGTAATATTCCCTTGAAAAAGGATGTACTATTCAGACTTTTTCAAACTTGGGACAATTGGCAGCCATTGAACAAAGGAATCTCAATATTATTCTCGATTAAGTTTCCTTTCAAGAAACCCAGTAATCATTCCTTCAGTAAATTTTCATTTTTTCATTTCTTATAGATTGCAAGGAGATTCCAGCAAGAGGAGAGGACATGTTGCCATTCAAAACTTCTAGCTGCCCTCAACAAGACATTCCGGAAGGAGATAACTTAATTCCTTTTGTACAGTGGATCTGCCATATTCTTGTTAAGTTGAAGTTAAACTATTACTGTTCAAATAGTCTTTTTTCTTTGATTATTTCAATAATTAACTTTATTCTTGCATTGATTAAAACCCTTTCGCTCCTGAACCGGCCAAAACCGGCCGACCGGAAAACACGTCACTATTCCTGAACAGGCCAAAACCGGCCGTTGACGACGCCTTTGTTTTCGGCTTGCCTCCCCACCCTAAAGGGCAAATATCAGCTAACCCTATGAATCAGCATTGTTCTCTAGTTATTGGCCAATCATATTACGAGTACTGCGCATAAGAAAAGTTGCCCTAGGCCGGGAGGGAGGAAGGCGAATTTTCGTTCAGTGAGCGACAACTGCAGACTTCGGAGTGCCGAGTCACAAGGCAAACAATGTTGTGAAATCCTCTGAAATTTATCACGTTTCTTTGATTTTAATGCTTATAAAGGTGTTGTAATAGTTTTCAGAGCATTTTGCAACATTGTTTGCTTTGTTAACTTTCAAGTCTGCTTTTGCCGAGCACCGAAAATTTTGCTTTCTTTCGCGAGCACAAAATGGCGAGGCGGCTTTCTGTGAATCGATGAATACAGAGCGATTTTCGGAGATTCTGATGAAGACTCTGGCGATGTTGATGGAAGTGATTCAGACATCGATTTTGAAGGTATCGATGAAGATGCTGAGGAAAGTGATGGAGAGAAGGATCAAACCGGCAACGAAGGAGCCAGCGATAGCGATGAAGAACTCGAAGAAGAGTGGTGGACGGCGGAGCTCGGTGACATCGATGTAAATACGTTCACGGCACAGTCAGGAATATCCATCGACGTAGGACCTGACCCTAAAGCCGATAACTTTTTTACATTTATGTTTGGTGAGGATCTCTTCGAGAAAATCTTCCTCGAGACGAACCGATATGCTCATCAAAAATTAGCCGATAATGAACAGCGTCTTGGTCGATGGCGAGATGTAAACAGAGACGAGATGAAGGCTTATTTTGGCGTTTGTGTGATAATGGGGATAAATAATTTGCCCAAAATCGCCGACTACTGGTCGTCAGATATTTTCATCGGCAACGATGGAATAAAGCGAACGATGACAAAGAATAGGTTTGAAGAAATAAGCCAGTTTTTCCATCTAAATAATTCGAGTGAAGAACCTGCACGCGGCGAGGAAAATTTTGATAGGCTGTACAAATGTCGTCCCGCTCTTACCTCAATATTGAGAAATGCTCAGCGCTGGTATTCCCCAAAGAAAAACATTTCCATCGATGAGGGAATGATAGCATTTAAAGGGAGGTTGTCGTTTCGCCAATATTTGCCAGCTAAGCCCACAAAATATGGTATAAAAGTGTGGATGGCAGCCGATGCCTCGAACGGCTATGTTGTAAATTTCTCTGTTTACCTAGGAAGCGAAGGGCAAAACAGGTGAATTCACGGCCTAGGATATGACGTTGTCATGAACATGGCCCGTCCCTTCTTAAATCGAAATCATCATGTCTTTTTCGATAATTTTTTTTCCAGTCCCATTCTTTTAGATCATTTATTAGATCAACAAACCTACGCTTGTTCGACTGTGCGATGTACTCGCAGAGACTTGCCGCCATGCGCCAAGAACAAACTTCGCCAGCCGGGAGAAACAATCGTACGCCAAAGAGGAAGCCTTCTTTTTACAAAATGGCACGACAAAAGGGATGTGGCGTTTTTGTCCACGAATGTTTCGCCAAATGAGCCGCCTCGAATTGTCCAACGAATGCAAAATGGACGAAATGTTCAAATCGAAAAGCCGCATGTCTCCGACCTTTACACGAAAAATATGGGTGGCGTTGATCGAGCAGATCAACTTCGATCTTCCTATACAGTCGGTCGGCAGTCGCGAAAGTGGTATAGGTACATCTTTTGGTTTGTGTTCAATGTTGCTGCTTGCAACGCGTATATTTTAGAGTGCGAACATCGACTGAGGAACCACCAGCGAACCCGTCCGCAGGCTGATTTTCGATTAGAATTGGGGAAGCGCCTGATCAATGGATATACCTATCGAAAGCGGCCAGCACCAAGCCAAGCACCTCAGCCAAGAAGAGATCACCAGGCCGTTCGTTTAGAAGGGAGAAAGAAGGAGTGTGTCTTGTGCAAAACTGCTGGCAGGAAAACTCCGAAAGGATATCCAGTAGAAACGAAAAACAAGTGTCAAGAGTGTGGTGTTGCGTTATGCAAAGTGCGGTGCTTCGTCGAATACCACAGTACAGACGCCTGAACTGAAATCCTTTTGACATTAATTTTTACTTAGTTTTTTGTTTGAGAGAAAAAGGATACACAGTAAATTTATAACAGGATCGTATAATGTCATTTATTTGCTTAGTTTAAATTGTATTATAGTAACTTGTAATGTATTTTGTTAGTTTGGGGTTTGACCCCGCGCTCATCCAGCAGAAATGGCGGTAAATTCGAATTTCTTAAATACATAAAGTTGTTGAGCGCTGTTACTTTAAACAGCATAGTTATATTTGTGCAATTATACTTTCCCTTGAAAGAACAATATCTCAACCTCAATTTTAACTTGCTAGCTATGTGTACAAGGACTCCAAATTCTACTGAGCATGCATGTTTTGGTTTTTGGTCAAAATTTTGAGCGAGTGCCCTAATTAGCCCCAGGAATAGCAGGCATTTAGGCTCTGAAGGCCCCCAGGAGTGAAAGGGTTAAGCATCCTCTTCATTCCCTTTTTCCGAAAACAGTCAATGACTTAATGTTAATTTCTAATTTAAAAGTTTTCAATGAATGTGAAATAATGGCAGTCTGCCCAAATGTTAAGTGCAATTGCATTTATAAACAATCAGACATTACGAAACAACGTAATGGGGAAACTGTTCCAGCTACTTGTAGCCAGAAACTTTTTGGTAAACCCTGCAAGACAGAACTTGCATATTCTGAAACAATGTCATTTGGGAGAAAGAAGTGGGTTGCTTATAAAAAATTCCCATTTTTAGCACCATCTAAGTGGATCAAGTTGTTCTTTCAAAATGAAGAATTTTTAACTCTAATCAAGCTGCGACCTGAACCATCAGCTGATGGCTCATTACATGACTTGTGGGATGGTAGGATCTTAAGGGTTTTTCTCAAAGATCCTATGAACAACAACAGATCACTTTTAGAAGATAAGCGTAACCTAGCATTGCTATTATATCTTGATTTCTTTAATCCTTTCACACGTGCAATTCACTCCAGTGGTGTTCTGTGCATGACAGTCCTTAATTTACCAAGATCTGTGCGCTATCAGAAAAAATGGGCAATGTTAATTGGGATCATTCCTGGTCCAGAGGAAGCTCAATGCCATATTAATAGCTATCTTAAACCAGTTGTTAATGATCTGCTTTCTTTGTATGAGGGGATTGACATCAGAGTTTCTGGTAGACACAGTGAGCAGTTTACTAGCCGTGCTGTTCTTCTGCCTGTTTTGGGTGATATTCCTGCATCACGGAAGCTATTTCACAGTTTCTAAGTTATAAGGCAAACAAGCCCTGTGACAAGTGTCATAAAACTGCCAAACGTGAACCGGGAACAGTTGGAGCATCGGGCAGAATGTCTTTTGTTACCGAGAAGATGCCAAGGAAAAGGACGGACAGGGAAGTGAGAGATGCTATGGCAAAGTACCAGAAATCTACCAGTAAGCATGCTGCAGATAGTTTGGCAAACCTGGTAAGTGGTGTACGTTACAGTGAACTATCCCGTCTTTCATATTTTGACATGGTAGAGAATTTTCTCGTTGATCCTATGCACAATTTGTTTCTTGGTCTTGTGGAAGATGTTGGCAACGCAATCATCATCGGTGATGAAAAATTCATATCTGTAGATGGACGAGACGTCTTTCAGGAAAGGATGAATTCCATGAGGCTTCCATATGATGTTGGTCGTCTGCCTTAAAGACCATGCTCCAGAAAAGGTCAGGTCGAGGGATAACTGCCCAGCAATGGAAAAATTTTATTATCACATTTGCGCGTGTCTGTCTGTGGAAAGGTGCAGGTAAAGATGCTTATAGAATGGTATCCACGCTAGCTGAAGCCTGTGAAATTGTCTTGAGAAATCCTCTTGATCAGAATGATATCACTCACTTGGAAAATCTCTTACAACAACACCATCGCCTGTATGCAAAAATTTTTGGTGAGTACTCTGTCAGTGTAAACTACCACATGGTTCTACACTTACCAGAACAAATCTTAAACTGGGGTCCTCCTACTGCCTGGTGGTGTTTTCCGTACGAAAGAAGAATTGGGGAACTCAGTGACACCCTAACGAGTGGAAAATCTGTTGAGGAACAAATATTCAGTCACTTTTTTCTTCAACATTGTGCTGACCACTTGCCTCTGCCCGTTATTCCAGAAACCATACAAACTCAAATTCCAGCTGCCATCTCACATCTTCTGGAAACACCATCAGATAGCATTTCAGAAAAACTTCATTTTAATCAACTGGGAAGAGATGCAGAAGATTTTTTCAATGGAAAGGTAAGTTCTAGGTTTTCTTTGTTAAGTGCTGGTGACCCATTTGTGGTTGTTGAAATGGAGGAATTTCTCCCATCCTCGTGGCCTGTTGTTTTGCTTCCGCCCAAGAGAGTAAACAAGCGTGTCCCGTTATCATTTTTAAAAGACCTCAAGGTTTACTTCACACAGCTGTACAAAGATGCATTTATTTTGGTAGAGCCTCGCATTGACATGTTTGCTAGATGCAAGGTGAATGGAACAACATTTTCCTCACAGTTTAACAGAACAGAACGTGGCAGCACTATACTTGCATACTGTGTAGACCGTGATATTCAAGGTGTTGAAAGGGTCTCTTCCTACTTTGCACAAGTAATGTTCTTTTTTTCAGCCACAGTTCATTTTTCGCAAGGAGGGAATTCTAGAAGAAAGACACCTAGTTTGGCATATGTTGACTGGTATCGTTTTGCTAACCCTAATCATGGTGTGGATAGTTCATCTGGTCTTCATGCTCTTTCTGGGTTGTTTTACAAGCAAGATAACATCATTAATGTCAGGCGTTTGATTCGTAGGGTAGTTTTAATGCAGGTAAGGGCTTTTACTACTACCTTGTAGCAAACCTAAGTAAATAAATAAATAATAATCCATTGGGTAGGATTTGCACCAGTTAACAGTTACCATTCGTTGCAATTGAATCTGATGTCTTTTGGAAAATCTTTTACAACAACACCATTGCCTGTATGCAAAAATTTTTGGTGAGTATACTCTGTCAGTGTAAACTACCATGTGGTTCTACACGTACAAGAACAAATCTTAAACTGGGGTCCTCCTACTGCTTGGTGTTGTTTTCCATATGAAAGAAGAATTGGGGAGCTCAGTGACACCCTAAGAAGAGGAAAATCTGTTTGAGGAACAAACTTTCAGTCACTTTTTTCTTCAACATTGTGCTGACCACTTGCCTATTGCCCATTATCCCAAAAACCATCCACTCTCAAATTCCAGCTGCCATCACACATCGTTTGGAAACACCATCAGATAGCATTCCAGAAAATCTTCATTTTAATCAACTAGGAAGGGAGGCAGAAGATTATTTCAATGAAGAGGTATTAAGTTCTAGGTTTTCTTTGTTAAGTGCAGGTGACCCATTTGTGGTTGTTGAAATGGAGGAATTTCTCCCATCCTCGTGGCCTGTTGTTTTGCTTATCCACCCAAGAGAGTAAACAAGTGTGTTCAGTTATCATTTTTAAAAGACCTCATGGTTTACTTCACACAGCTGTGGAAAGATGCATTTGTTTTTGGTAGAGCCTCACATTGACATGTTTGCTAGATGCAAGGTGAATGGAACAACATTCTCCTCACAGTTTAACAGAACAGAACGTGGCAGCACTATACTTGCATACTGTGTAGACCGTGATATTCAAGGTGTTGATAGGGTCTCTTCGAGTAATGTTCTTTTTTTCAGCCACAGTTCATTTTTCGCAAAGAGGCAATTCTAGAAGATAGACACATGATTTTGCATATGTTGACTGGTATCGTTTCGCTAACCCTAATCATGGTGTGGATAGGTCATCTGGTCTTCATGCTCTTTCTGAGTTGTTTTAAAAGCAAGGTAACATCTTCAATGTCAGGCATTTGATTTGTGGGGTGGTTTTAATGCAGGTAAGGGCAAACTACTATCCAATTGCAAACCTAAGTAAATGAATGAATGATAGTCCATTGGGAAGGATTTGCACCAGTTAACAGTTACCATTCATTGCATTCAAATCTGATATCTTTTTGGAAAATCTTTCACACCAACACCATTGCCTGTGCGCAAAAATTTTTGGTAAGCACTCTGTCAGTGTAAACTACCACGTGGTTCTACACGTACAAGAACAACATTTTAAACTGGGGTCGGCGTGCAAAGAAAGTCATGTCCAATAGCCCGGGGCTAGTGGATTTTGCTATCGGGCGAGTGATTTTTGTTCCTAACTTGCCCAACGGGCAAGTGCTGTTTTTTGGGTAATTCAAATTACAAAAGGATTGTAATCAATCCTGCGAATCAAAAAGGGTTTTGGGGCTAGTTGAAATGACTTTTGGGTAGTACATGCTAGCTACAGCTTGCCCGAATGGCAGGCTGTAAAACTGACTTTCTGTACACCCTGACTGGGGTCCTCCTACTGCTTGGTGTTGTTTTCCATTTGGAAGAATAATTGACCACTTGCCTATTGCCCGTTATCCCAAAAACCATCCACACTCAAATTCCAGCTGCCATCACACATCTTTCTTCTTAGACAAATAGGATTATTTGAAAGTGGTGTGATCGATGTGGGCATCCTGATTAATCATATTCGTTTGTGTATATTGCACATGCATATTATAGGATACTGTATGTTTAAAATTATTGCTTCATACAGTCTCTTAATGAAATTTCTTTTAGTGTAAATTATGGTGATGATGTGATAGATTTCAAAAGTATTTGTTAATCCTGTTTAAATTTAGAAAAAGGAATGTAGTTTGTACTTTGGTTATTAAAGTGTTCAGTTCAAAAGTAATTCATAAATTGCCCTTTTATAATTTCTGATGTGCAGTAGATGATGCATCTGGTTATTAAGTACTGTCATGCACATTTGTCCATCTGTTGCAAACATGTAGGTGATCTTTTCACCTGGCTCTTTTCATGTTATGCAGTTTCTTTTCTTTTAATCAGTCGACTGTGTTTTTTCCATAAACTTTTTTTTCAACTGGAGTGAGCTGACTAGTTAATTGATTAAGGAAATCAGGTTATCTCTTTGCCATAAGATTTAATTGAATTTAGAAGGGAACTTCTACGTACATATATGTATTATATGTACGTAGTTGTAATGCACGTTAATCAACCGTGGTCAAATAATTATTTAAATATGCATACATTATTAGGTCATATGGTTCCTTTAATTTTTTCAAGAATTTTTTCAGCTACATGATTGTATGTCTAGTGTTTTATTTCTGTGTTAAGGATCTATACCCTTGACAGCTGTACTTAGAATAGTTAAAGGGATATTGCTGTTTTTGCATGGTCAATATTGTGTGTTGTTATATAGCTTGAAATTTCTTTTCAACAGCGCACGGTCTCATTGGCTACTTTGAGGTGACATGACATCTAACAATGAAACTTTTTCATGCCAAAATCTCTGAGCGGGCAACATTGCAAAAAATCTATGTCGCCAGAGGGTAACAATGCAATGTTACCTGTGAATGTTGACCTATGACCTCCATTACAGCTAGGTTTAATGAATTTCCAGCTTTAACAATTCCAGCTATATAACAAATCACTTAAAGGCTGGTCCCTCGGGAAACAATTTTGTTTTGTTTTGTTTGTGCTTTTCTGCATAAAAAAATTGTACCTGTCGAAGAATGAAGATGTCAAACAAATTTCATAAGGGAGCACTAAACATAATAATTTGGTGGGTTTTGCAAGCAATGCATAAGACTTACAAAGGTTGACCCATTATGTTTGAAATTCAGTTGGTGCGAGAAAAGTTTTAGCTTTTTAAGTTGGATTACAAATAGTCCCTTTAAGAGGCTAGTAATTTATTATTGTTTTACAGATAACAGATAACAGTGTATCTAGTGGTAAAAGAAATTAACAATAATTTCTAAGGACACATGGCTGAGTGCATGTAGAATAAAGTGATGTACAGCTGTTAAAGTTTGCTAGTAATGTCTTTGTTTTCTATTATATTTGAAAGTTATCTTCCTGTCACAAACTTATTTATTACTATGTCAACTCATATACTGAAAATTATAATGGGCATTCAAGGCAGTAGTTGACATTGTTGTACAGTCGACTCTCTCTTGATGGACACCAATATACCACAGACACCTCTGTAAAACGGACACTTAGAGTTGGTCCCTGCCTTTCTTCACTCCTTTTGTTTGACTCTCTATAAGATGGACACCTCTCTAAGACGGACACTTAGTGCTGGTCCCAAAGGTGTCCGTCTTAGAGAGAGTTGACTGTATTACCGTAGATTTGGATTGTGATTATGGTATGTGGTTCGATAAAATATCCATACCAGGCCTAGAGATAATTCCTGGAAATGAAATTCTTTAGAGAGGAGTGGGCAGGGGAGTCTGATGGCCAGATATAGCTAGTGGAAAAGAAATAATTGCAAAAGGGAGGGGGAGGGGGACCGCAAAATAGTTGTCAAAAAAGTAATTTGAGATGATATTATAATTCCAGAGATGATGTTATGTGTACACACAAAATCATGTTGTGATTCCAGAGATGATGTTATGTGTACACACAAAATCAGGTTATGATTCCAGAGATGATGTCATGTGCACATATAAAATCATGTTATGATTCCAGAGATGATGTCATGTGTACACATAAAATCATGTTATGATTCCAGAGATGATGTTATGTGTACACATAAAATCATGTTATGATTCCAGAGATGATGTTATGTGTACACATATCCAGAGATGATGTCATGTGTACACATAAAATCATGTTATGATTCCAGAGATGATGTTATGTGTACACATAAAATCATGTTATGATTCCAGAGATGATGTTATGTGTACACATAAAATCATGTTATGATTCTAGAGATGCCTTTATGTGTACACATGAAATCATGTTATGATTCCAGAAATGATTCTAACTGTACACATTGCATCATGCCTATGATTGTGAAATGATTGTATGTGCTCAGTTAGAAGCATAGTTATGATTTGTTATGATTTGTAGAGTGCTATGACATCATCACATGAATCATCACGTATGATTCCATAGACCGAATTCCTGTGTGTGTAACGGCAAATTTTAGCATTTTTGAAAGATTTAAAATAAAAAGGCCGCCAAAATGATGAATGTCTCAGTATGTATAAAATAAACACAATACCGAATGGAAAGTCCTTTGTACGGTATTTACGCACTCGTTGTTTTTGTATCAGAAATGTTACTCGTTCGCTGCGCTCACTCGTTCGATTTTTGATGCGTCAATAACTCGTGCGTAAATACCGTACGGCAGCACTTTCCATGAAGTATTCTCTATATATAAACTCATGTAAATATTTCGTTTCGTAACACATGTAAATATTTTTGCCCCATTATAATTTTTATTATTGTATATTAATTTGTTATTATTCTATGTTACGACAGAATAGCCCCGTAAAGAGGAGTCGTAATAAAGTGTATGTTAAAGGGTAGGGATTTCACTAGATGAAGTATATAAAAGGGGCGGCAAGGGAACTAAATGGGCTAACAGACAAATTTTATGGCAGGGAAATAGTCTTGAAAACATCCCAACTTAGCGGTTAATTCATATCGGGAATGCAAAATAGTCATTTTTTTTTCCGTAATCGGTTTTGGAAAGACGCGAGGGGCCGACGTGACATTTTCGCGACAAGCGGCGTGCGAGCCTCACACGCCCGTAGGCCTAGTCTCACCCTTCGTTTTCACCCTCTCGGTCCAGACTTTTCGTTTGACCTCTTACGCGTGCTTTCTTGACCTCGACAATAGACTCTTCACAGTCCACTATGTTTTTTTAAGATTGTCAGGATCGGGTGCTTACCGGTACGGACGGTCCATCTCGATTTGATATGTACCCATGGGGTACATATGAAACCAAGATGGTCAAGATAGC